TATCGATTTGATCATGATTATTATCTTAAACCGTGGAGTCTACCAAATTTACCTTTACCCAATGTACGTAATCATATTGGAAAAATGGATAGAAGGATAGGTCATATTCAGTATCCTCAGAATAGAAGGTGATGTCGAACCAATTGGGGTTATAAAGAATATTGATTCTCGTGATTTTACAGAGCTTCGTATAGTTGATAATAATGGTAGAGCACATAATATTTTAAATACAAATAACCTTGGCATTCATTTTTGTGAATCTGGCTATCATACACGTGTTACTTGTGGTTACCGAATAGCGAATGATGCCCTCTTTTTTTGATGCAATTGATCCTTATAGAGTTTCAGACGTTATAGACATGGATAGTAATATTGAAGATATTGGAGGTCCTGTATTTAATCATTATAATCGTGCTTATGTGAGTATAAATGGTATAATCAATGGTGCTATAGGAGATATTACCTTATCAACAGGTGTAGATACAATTATTGATGAGGCTGAGTTGCGCCTTGTTAATTTCCGTAGAGAAATTATTTAAATTTTATTATTGTACCACAGGGTTAGATCAGGGCTAGATATATTTTCTGTCAATTTGACCGTTTAACCATGTTAGTTGTTTAACTCAGATTGTGTTAAAAGAATTTTACTTATTACAGTATCAAAAATCTGCTGAGATGGAGATGTTGATGGAACAATTAATGTTGGATATTACTATCATCATGAAATTGTAGTTGAAAGGATGGACATAGGTCATTAGTTTATCATCAGAAATCAGAGGAAATAAACGTTTATAGAACATATTAATTGTTAAAAAAAATACGTAGTCTATATAATGAAAAAGATTGAAAGAAAAATCCTATTCAATTTTATATACATTAAAAAGTTTCCAGGTAAACAAAAACAATATTATAATCCCACTAATACCTACCCGCACCTTAACATAAGCACCCATCTCTAAATTAAAATTTGAGTTACAAGTAGTCATTGTTATGGTAAATAGATTGAGAAGAATGGACATAAGGTATTACCAAAAATCGGAAATGTTAGTGGATATAAAACTTTCTTTATTATCAAAATTTACTAAGATGGGAAACGCTAATGGAATAACCAATGTTAAATATTGTTATGGAAATAGAATTGAAGCCGAAAGGGAGAACATAACACATCTATTTATCATCAGAAATCATGAACACGTGAATCGCTAAAAAAAGTTCAATCTATATAATGAAGATTGAAAGGAAAAAATTACATTAAATTCTAGACACATTAAAACGTTTCTAGGAAATAAGAAACAAAATTCAAAACTCCATAGCGTCGCTCAAAAAATCAGTTAGTTACGTACCCTGAACTTAAAATTAAGCATCTGGTACTTAAATAGCGATTTATTTATACTAATAATTTATTAATATAAATTTTTTTTGTAATAAAGCAATATGCAAATTGCGTTTTATTTAATTCTCGATTTAATTCTCAATATATATATATATATATATATATAATACTGCATCAATTAAAATTTATAATAAAGATGAAAATTTTAATTCAAATTGCAAAAAAGACGTTACCGGTAAAACTATCGCAATAAAAAGTATTTGAATTACACCTATTCCAACTAAATAAATAAGGTAGCTGCGGGACGTTGTCGCGCGACTAGTGATACGGGTCGACCCCGGCCCAACGGCCGGGTCGATGGGCGGGTCGATCCTCAGTCGGCACCTTTGTGGGCCGGGCCGGTTGATAAGAGAAATTTCTCTTTTACAGCTGTTTTCATAAATTCTGGGACACCTGATAAAAATTTGCCGAATGATTTTTCGGCCGATTCGATTAAGTTATTGATTTCGGCAATGATCGTTACATGTAAGATAATTTTATTATTATAAGGTAGATGTGCACTAAAATCAGGAACGTAGAAACGATATTTATAATTATATATGCTAATTCTTACATTATATCATAAAGCTTTTTATTAGATTGAAATTTTATTCATTTATTTTGTTACGATATTAGAAAATATGTAGATCGCTAAATCAATATGAATAAATTGAACCCAAATGAAAGGTTTAACAGTATTGTAACTAAAAATTGCATATATAGATAGGTTGATAATAAAATATTCTGATTAATACGAAAACTTTATACGTTTTTAAGTAAAACTCAAAACATTAAGAAAATGATCTATGTTACAAGCACAAAATTCAGAATTTGTTAACACATGCGTCGGGTATATTTCGGACAACCCTATAAAAAGGATTGTGTAAAATTTGTACGTATATTATTCTAATAATATTCTAATAATATGCTAATAATATTCTAATAATATTCTAATGGCATTTTTTTTACACTTTTAAAACCAATCCTCTTTATAATGCAAGTTAATAACAAGAAAGTAGGTCATTATTTCATTGAGAATCAATAAGAAAGTAGATCATTATGTCATGAGAATCAATCAAGAAAGTAGATCATTATGTCATGAGAACCAATTACTATACCAAATTAAAAAAATTACGATATACTCGTTTCATTACGTTCCTGGTATATTACCGACACATTCAAGATTAAATTTTTGTTTGAGTTTAGTCTGAACGAAATTTATAAAATGACTATCAAGAAATACATAAAAGGCTACGAATATAAATTCGACTTTATAATAAATATATTATATACAAAAGTTGTTTATTACATCCATTTCTTTTAGGTGCTTGAGAACTTAATTTGTAAAAGTTATGTTAACACCTAAGTGTTTACCAATTTTTGAATTAATAGGCCCTCTAAAGTTTTTTTTTTGCATTTGCAACGAAGATGCTTGAAAAGTAGATATGCGTATGTAGTCTTATAATATTTCCTATAAAATAATTCGACTCCGTATTGAATATTTACAGTATGTTTATTGGATATTATATGTTTTTTGTACGATTAGTATTTAATTAA